TCGGGCAACAACCCAGTTATCCTCTATAAAATGCTGCTCCAATCTAGGTGTTGTCTTCGAAGCGCTGCTCCAATATGGCAAGACATATGTCTATAAAATGCCTTTTCCACAGGCGGTTGCTAACCCATCTGATTTGATTCATTGGCGCAGCGACGTGCAACTTGTTTGACTATAGTATGTATAGGCCGGTATATGCCGGCAATACCCGGTAAGACATAGAGGGATTACCATGAAATTTTACTCTTGGGGGTGCAAAACAAAACACTTATAACATCCCCCTTTTAATTTCCCTTATTAAATCCCGCCAGCCGGGGGGCGGGAACCAATTTTTATAGGATCCCGTCCCCCGTATTTTTTTTTTACATGGCTTATAAAATTCTACGTTTTTTTAATAACGGGTGCCTCAAAAAACCATCATTTTATACACGACCCCTTTTTTCTGGGGCTATAAAATGACTAACAATGACTAACATATTTTGAAAAAGAATAAAAAAACATTCCAATACCTTGAAAATGAACCACTGATTTTGTGGACATAATTTATGGATAGAAATTACTTTTTTAACAATATCAAGTTATTCAACACATATGCATAATTTTGCAATTTCAATATGTTTCTAAAGCAACTTTTTCTTGTTTACCAGCTATAAAAGTGACATTGCTCATTTTGCATCATTTCCCCGTTGTCTTCCACCTTTCTTTCTCCCCTTTGGGTCTCCCCGTTGTCTTTCCCCATTGTGTCTCCCTGTTTTTGGGGCGAAGTCCTCGAGCCAGCTTTTCCGCCTTTCCCGTTGTGTCTCCCCGTTGTAACACCCCATATCACCCCATTGTGTCTTCCCCGTAGCGGTGATCCGAATGCAACGAGTCGGGCGCAAGGAATTGGAATGAAAGAATAAGTACAGGCCTGATGTCAATACCATACCTATGTAAAAAACATCTAAAAAGTCTTGGTGTAAAATGATGTATACACAAATAAAAAACAATTCATAACATATCTAAATTGTTCAAAAGTGTTCAAAATGCAAAGCACGTCAAAATTATTGAGACGTAGACAAATTGAGACGTTTCCCGGGAATAGCAGGCTGATCTGCCCGGATGAGTCTCTATGAAATGCTGTTTCCGACTGGAGATGCCCCTTACCCGTCCATCCGCGGATCTCCCTTAGTCGGAGACAGCATTTTATAGAGACGTTTCCCGGGAATAGCAGGCTGATCTGCCCGGATGAGTCTCTATGAAATGCTGTTTCCGACTGGAGATGCCCCCTACCCGTCCATCCGCGGATCTCCCTTAGTCGGAGACAGCATTTTATAGAGACGTTTCCCGGAAATAGCAGGCTGATCTGCCCGGATGAGTCTCTATGAAATGCTGTTTCCGACTGGAGATGCCCCCTACCCGTCCATCCGCGGATCTCCCTTAGTCGGAGACAGCATTTTATAGAGACGTTTCCCGGAAATAGCAGGCTGATCTGCCCGGATGAGTCTCTATGAAATGCTGTTTCCGACTGGAGATGCCCCCTACCCGTCCATCCGCGGATCTCCCTTAGTCGGAGACAGCATTTTATAGAGACGTTTCCCGGGAATAGCAGGCTGATCTGCCCGGATGAGTCTCTATGAAATGCTGTTTCCGACTGGAGATGCCCCCTACCCGTCCATCCGCGGATCTCCCTTAGTCGGAGACAGCATTTTATAGAGACGTTTCCCGGAAATAGCAGGCTGATCTGCCCGGATGAGTCTCTATGAAATGCTGTTTCCGACTGGAGATGCCCCCTACCCGTCCATCCGGATCTCCCTTAGTCGGAGACAGCATTTTATAGAGACGTTTCCCGGGAATAGCAGGCTGATCTGCCCGGATGAGTCTCTATGAAATGCTGTTTCCGACTGGAGATGCCCCCTACCCGTCCATCCGCGGATCTCCCTTAGTCGGAGACAGCATTTTATAGAGACGTTTCCCGGAATAGCAGGCTGATCTGCCCGGATGAGTCTCTATGAAATGCTGTTTCCGACTGGAGATGCCCCCTACCCGTCCATCCGCGGATCTCCCTTAGTCGGAGACAGCATTTTATAGAGACGTTTCCCGGGAATAGCAGGCTGATCTGCCCGGATGAGTCTCTATGAAATGCTGTTTCCGACTGGAGATGCCCCCTACCCGTCCATCCGCGGATCTCCCTTAGTCGGAGACAGCATTTTATAGAGACGTTTCCCGGGAATAGCAGGCTGATCTGCCCGGATGAGTCTCTATGAAATGCTGTTTCCGACTGGAGATGCCCCCTACCCGTCCATCCGCGGATCTCCCTTAGTCGGAGACAGCATTTTATAGAGACGTTTCCCGGGAATAGCAGGCTGATCTGCCCGGATGAGTCTCTATGAAATGCTGTTTCCGACTGGAGATGCCCCCTACCCGTCCATCCGCGGATCTCCCTTAGTCGGAGACAGCATTTTATAGAGACGTTTCCCGGAAATAGCAGGCTGATCTGCCCGGATGAGTCTCTATGAAATGCTGTTTCCGACTGGAGATGCCCCCTACCCGTCCATCCGCGGATCTCCCTTAGTCGGAGACAGCATTTTATAGAGACGTTTCCCGGAAATAGCAGGCTGATCTGCCCGGATGAGTCTCTATGAAATGCTGTTTCCGACTGGAGATGCCCCCTACCCGTCCATCCGCGGATCTCCCTTAGTCGGAGACGGCATTTTATAGAGACGTTTCCCGGAAATAGCAGGCTGAACTCCCCGGATGAGTCTCTATGAAATGCTGATCTCTTTGAAATTTCTTTGTCCTCACCCCAGGGACTTCAAGATTTGCCTGGCTTAAATTCTTAGCTGGCTATAGCCAGTGGGCACTAGCCCAGGGATTTAGATGGCTGGCCCAACGGTATAAAATTAAGGTTGCAAGGCGCACGCGTGTGTTCGACTCAGACCCTACAGTTGCAAGAATCAGTGCGCATCCATGTGTATCCTTCAAACTGCCACCTACGGAATACCAAGAAAGTAAAGCCTCTATAAAATGCCCGTTCGATTCCATACCAGCCAATATATGCTCTGAAAGCATGTTAAAGATCAAGGTTGCCCCCAGTTTCCCTCTATAAAATGCACTTTCCTTTCACAACATGGTCCATAAATAACGGTAACATTTTGGAAAGAATCCCCCCTATAAAATGCATAATCTATCTGCAACGTCTTGTACCTCTCTATCATCTTTCATGCTCGGAAGGAAGCTCTCTATAAAATGATAAAATAGGGAGCTCTGGAGGGGCATTTTATAGACGACCAAGCCAGTTCTCTATAAAATGGGTCCCGGAACAGCATTTTATAGAGTCAAAGCATCGGCATTTTATAGAGGATCAATCTAGGGGTATTTGAAATGGAATTTTGGGTCATTTTGGTAGCTTTCCGGCAATGGAAAAACGGCCAAAAATGAAAAAAACATTGTACATAGCAAGATTTTGCAGGGTTTTTTGATGCCAGAGCATTGAAAACACTGCAAAAACAAGTGTTTTGGCCTGACGTTATAGCAAAAAACGTGTAAATTACCGTATGCTTGACTGGAAGCATTACAAAAACACTGTCAAAAGCAATGTTTTGGAAGGATTTACTGCCTTTATGGCAAAAAACGTGTAAATTACCGTCTGTTTGACTGGAAACATTGGAAAAACACTGTCAAAAACAATGTTTTGGAAGGGTTTCTTATATATATGTTGGAGTTGGCGACCGGCATTGGAACATGGACAAATTGAAGAAAACACTGTAAATAGCGGTATTTTCAACGGTTGGGGAGATAAGGGAATTGGATGCATTGTCGAACATGATGTTTTCGACCGGTTTTATGGCGACAAAAGTGTAAAGTACCGTGCTTTGAAGGAAACCATTGCAAAAACATGGAAACACATTCAAAGAACACGGGATTTGGGGGACTATCTAGGCGTCGTTGTCTAGCTATTTGAAATTCCGCAGCTTGGAGAGCCTCCAAGGGAGGGAAAAGTGAAAATTCCATAGCTTGGGAAGCTGTCACGGCGGGGAAAAGTGAAAATTCCCTAGCTTGGGAAGCCCCCACGGGGGGGAAAAGTGAAAATTCCCTAGCTTGGGAAGCTGTCACGGCGGGGGAAAGTGAAAATTCTTAGCTTGGGAAGCCCCCACGGGGGAAAAGTGAAAATTCCCTAGCTTGGGAAGCCCCTACGGGGGGGAAAAGCGAAAATTCCCTAGCTTGGGAAGCCTTCAGGGGGGGGGGTAAAGTGAAAATTCTCGCCTGGGAAGCCTCTACGAGTGGGAAAAGTGAAAATTGCTTAGCTTGGGAAGCCCCAATTGGAAGCCTCATATTCCACACCACCCTTTGCCCCTCTCACGGACCGAAATAAACCTGCGGTGTGGGCGGCCACCCCACGCGAAGCGGGGTGAATAAATGATTGTAGTCACTAGAATTGGAATGCAAGTATATGCAAGTGGGATTACCAAAATGGACAGGAAGGCCATGGAAGGCCGAGAGTCGATCGGAACCAGAAGGGCCAGCACCGACAGCCACATTGTGCGCCCCATGGTTCGAGTACGGAATGTAGAGCTTGAGTGAAATGCTCTGAGAAATGAGGCGCGCAACTGACTCATCATGCACACCTACAATAAGTGCCTTAATTCAAGGTACGATAAGTGAGGTATCCCCATAGGCCCATAACTAATAAGACTATTGACTATGTGTTTGTTTGAGACCTCTCTCTGGTAAGTCCTCAACATGCAAGGAGGGTTAGTGGTGGTTAATAACGGTCAAGCTGAAACAGTCATGTACCCTATGATACTCAAATTCTGGACGTGGAAAAAACTCCCTCAGTTGTATCCATCCTTGGGTGATTTTCTATCAAATTCCGTTCATATGATATGTATATATATATATACATATATATATATATATTCTTATGTCCCATCAAACGTTTGCAGGTTCTTCATGGTCTGTTCATGGTTCTTCCAAACATTTTCCATCATTCTCCAGCCACCTCAGTGCACCCCAACGGGCGCCACCTGTTCCTCTTCAACCTCCGACTTCGCACGTTGTAGTGCTGCGTTCACCTCTTTCAATATGAATCCCTATCCAACTCTTGGGTGCGCTGTAACAATAAGTTTGGACCGCGATTGTTCCTGGCAACATGGTCTTCAATCAGGTATGGGCCCATTTTTTTTGACGAAATCGGTGCTATCGTGAGTTTTTGTTCTTCCTGTGCATGGTCGATCGATGGATGGATAGATAGGTAGGTACATAGATACAGTACATGGTAGGCTACACTATGTACTCACTGCCGGTTCTATGAAATGTTGTTTTCGTTTTGTGTTTCTTCAATCCAGCTTGTGGCTGGTGGGATCCATTTTTCTTTGTGTAAGTACAGTATATAACTAGTAGCTACGCGTGCTTCTGTATCTTCTGTTGCTCAATTCCTATACCAGTATTGTCTATGTCCCACCTTTGTCTTCAAACACAACATCAACACCACACATATGGTATGATGATATGGGTCAAAATTTGATCGCCCAATAGTTGGATGCTTGAAAACATAGACTAAGTGACTAAAATCTGCGCTCCCCACGTTCAATTTGACCCATCCCCAAAATCGCTTCCGGCCTCCTCGAGCTGCTCGCTTCCATTCGTCAGAGCTTCCGCCGGTACCTGGCGCGAAACATGTTGAACCCCGTTGAACCCCCCTAGGCCCTAGATGTTTCGACCAAAAACTTGGGGTCTTGGATGGTCTTGGGGTTTCCTATGGTTTCCTTCAACTTGCGACACCACTTTTGGGAGTCGATTTTTTGATCCAGGAGTGTAGGATTTGGGGAAATCATTGGTGGTCTGAACAGAAACCGAACATGGGATCAATGAAATCCAAATGGAGGCAACCAACCAAAGATGGAGATCTTCTCACCCAAAAAATCCCAACAAACATATCCAAAAATATCCAATAGCCACTCAATTTCCACGTAATCTATACATTTTTTCCCAGGCAAGACAACGCGAAGTCCACCATTGGGAAATTCATCGAAACGGGTGCACGAACTGAACTGAAACATCGTCAGATTTGGGATATTTCACGAGTTGACCATAGTTTAGCTGTAAAATAGTGATATTTTTAGTGGTTGTTGACTATAGTTTACCATATATATAGTTTACCAATGTTTACCATATATATATATATATATAGTGATTGTTGACTATCAAGAATTCAACAATTCAATCATCTTTGGACATCTTTGGACATCTTTGTACATCTTTGGACATCTTTGTACATCTTTGTACAATGGGCAAACCATTTTGCAGGCCGCCAAAGAGCGATGAACCGTTTCAACAAGGCTGTCAGTCAACAGGGGCTGTCAACAGCAGCTGAAGTTGGCAAAATCCTGAAGCTGATGGATTTCTGGGACAGGTTTGATTCCATTGCATCCTGGCACTGGACGATGCGATTAAAAAAGGATGAAAAAGGTGACTGTCCCATTCAAGATACCCTCTGGTAAACTAACATAACTATGGAAAATCACCATTGTTAATGGGAAAATCCACTATAAATGGCCATTTTCAATAGCTATGTTAGTTTACCAGAGGGTATATCAACATCTTGGGATTTCCCAACCATGTTGAGATAACTGAGGGTGCCTTTCGGACCTGGACCTGTCCTTCTTCATCTGCTCCAGCCATTCTGGCTTTTCCTTCTTCCCAACCTGGCCCATGGCGAAGGCCTATGATCAGAATGGCCATCTCAACCGGAAAATTCTATGCCATGAGATCTTCAAACAAAACCATCTTCGAAAAAATCTAGGCCTCTGCGAGCAAAGAGTGGTAGCAGTTTTGCAAGTCCTTCCGCAAAAGAAACACTTCGGGAAGAAGAAATGGATTGGCCGGATGGAGAATCATGGGGAATCTACATCAGCAAACACTGTGTTTGACGCCTAAGACAGCTGGTTCCGGATTTTGCCCTAACTGCCAATGATCCTTGCGGCATGTTGTCATTCCCGCACATCCCAAAAATAACAACATGGGTGATGTTTTCTGGATCTTCAACTAGGTGTGGGGGTGGGTCTCTCTACAAACGCGGTACCCCTGAAATCACTAGTTGTTCATTGTTCATCATAATTTCCTTATTAAATTGTAAAAAATTGGGATCATGTGTCAAGTATATCCCGGTCTCCTGAAACTCTTCCGACTTTCCACCTTTATCAGGATGCAAGAGCCGTGCGGCTGCCCTGTAGCCTTTTCGAATGTCAACGTCCGTGAGGCTTCCTGGTTCAATGCAAAAGTCGTTGCTCAGCATCTAGCCATTGCTTCTGCATCTGAACATATCTGAACCTTGTATATAAGATAATAAAAATGTATAATTACTATAGTGGCAAATGGTCTGTTCATGTCAAACCCTCTGTTCTCCTTCTTCCAGCCCAAAGAGTTTTCGGCAGTGCTCATTGGAAGCAAACTGAGCGCAACCTGGACTCCGACGAATTCCTAGTCGAAAGTACTTGCCATATGATTGCAACAGTGACTGGTTGTCTGTCTGAACACCTGGGAAAAAGAGTGTCTATTGGGATTGGGATCATCAGCCTGTCATATATATATGAAACTGCTAGCTGAATCCATCCAATGAGAAATTTTGATGAACGCACTCATATTCGTTGTGGAAACATGCAGCTGTTTTACCTCCAAGGAACTTCTGATACCCAAGCTGGATGTCCTGGTAGTCCTTCGACCAATGGATGTGAGCCCGAAGCGGAGCAACATGGGCAACGGAAGAAGGTACAGGATATACCTGGAACATCCTGCAACCCAAATGACCCCTCTTTTGGATGGTTAACCCTCAAATTTCATGGATCAGTCTGTGCAGTCTGTATAGTTGAAACATGTGCCAAAAGAAAAGGCTGCTTCTGTCTGACGTCTAATCTATTGTCATAGATGGTCTATTATTGTCTATTGTCCATTGCAACTAACAGGTTGACTCTAGGTGTGACTCGAGCAATGTGCGAATGCATCTTCGAGGCAAAATGAGAGACATGTCTTGAGCCGCAAAATGCGTGAAGGCTCATGGGCAGTTGGAAGAACATGGGTTGATGCGAGATGTTGAACACATTGGAACCAGGCACATCCAATGAATATATCAAAGATGGGCGGGGCGACTTTGCAACTGCAATGAAATTTGTCAGAAAATAAAGGAATCATCCCTAAATTATCCCTGAAAAATCCCCAAAAGTAAGGGAATTATCCCTAAAAATAGGGGAATTATCCCTAAAAAAAACCATAGCTCATCATTCGCCTCCTTGCTAGTGTTTGGGGTGTTTTCAGACTCTCCGCAGGCTTCGCCTTCCCGATGATCCGCCGAATCTTTTGGGCCTCCATCATTTTTCCGGTGGGTAGAAGAGCATAGTAGAGCTGTAACATCCCCCATGTTCAGACCAGAATTATTATTATTATTAACATTTATTAACGTATCATTACATCATTATTATTAACATTACTAGCATTATTATGATGATTATTATCATTCATTGGTTAAATCACATTTTTGAAAGGGTCAAATTCATGTCAAATCTCATGTTTCCTCGGGTAAAATCCACATCTCGGCTGGTTTTTGCTGGTCACATTGCGGACGAGAAAACTGGCCTCCTGCAAACTCCGTTCAGCAAAGGCCTGCCGCTTCAGCAAGTGATTTTCTGGAGAAGAAACACACACACACACATATATATAATATAATGTATATATATGTACACATACGCAAGATCATTGAAAACCAAAACATTTACATACTTCATCATCAAAATTTAATTCACAAAGGAAACAATTATTTAACCGTTTTATCGCTATCATTATAATTACATCATAATTCATTCTATCTCTCAATCTCAGGAGATGTTTTTTCAAGATTATCTTGGCAGGACATCTTCCAGGACCCCCACCCCCCACCGGGGTCTTCCGCCTTCCAAATCGTCCATGTCTGAGCACCACTACCCCAGTCCTACAGCCGTTGATCAGTTGGGATAACATCTCAGTCCTGCTATCCCAGTCCTCATCTTGAACTATAAAAAATGGAAGATACACATTGGAAGATGAAGGCGTTCATCATCTAAATGTAGTCTCAACGCTTCAGTGCACAATAATGCTGAATCTGATTCTCATGACATGAATGAACAACATGACCATATCCTGTGAAGGTGAAGCGGGCCATGGCGGGCCACCCTTTATTCAACAACTTCAGTTTTCGAACAAACTTAGTTCATTTCCTCTTCATAGTTTACCCTCAAACTCGAAAACTGAATCAGCCATCAAGATCCCCAATGGGATCCCTTGCGGTCTGGCGAATCACCAGTCGCCTGCTCAGGCTCTATCTCCAGTCCTTGTGTAGGGCTCGTCTTTCCCACTGAGCTCTGCGTTTCTCCTGCGCCATCGGCCGAGGTCTGTGATGGGCTCAATGATTTCATCGCACTGCACGCACTGCACGTTCCCCGATGTTCCCCGTACCTTGCTCCTGTCGCCTAAATGTGACAGGCGCTGCCTGCAGATCTCTTGCACTGGCCAGGAAGTTTCAGCAGAACTTCAACGCGAAGACATTGTCTCAAAGTTCATATGATGTCTTCATATCAGATCTTGAAGACATGAATGAACTAATGAATTCTAATCATACAGGAAACATGTAGCAGTTTCAAAGGGCTCAAGGCATCGCTCAGCTAGGTCCTACACATGAAACTGGCTAAGCCCAGAGCCGCAAAGCCGCAGCTTCTGTTTCACATGTCTGAAGCTCTGCCTGACCATCTGCAGGACTTCTATCTGAGGCATGGGCACAAATCCAAAATTTGGACACATCTGGACCATCAAAATTATGGGTTGTCTGAAAATAGCTACCGCCAAATATGCTGCTTTATCATCATTCTCCCCATCGAAAATACGACAACAAGAGGTCAAGCCTCCATTGGTCCATGTTCAGGTACCCAACCCTTATAATGCTATCAAGCTGGCCATATAACATATCCTATATATCCCCATGAAATGGTTGGTTATACTATACATAATTCGTATTGTGTCATATTGTTGCACCTCATTCTGTCACAATGTTTATCCGATTTTTGATTTTACATGATTTTACATACCAGTACCATATTCTATCATATTCTGTCCATTCATATCCAGAAAAATCCTCGGTTTTAGTCATTACCCTCCGGCAATCAAACATGACTAGCTAGATACTTTTCCGGAAATCGAACGGAGGATTTTCCGGCACGCCATGTTTGATTACCGGAGGGTAAGCCATATAGATCCGCGGCCTTGAGCTGCAAAGAGCGTTTGCATAACTTCTGCGCCACCTGGAGGTTTCTATCATCCTGGCGAGATTTGCGAACGCTGGTCACTTGCCGCCGGAGTGGCAATTTCCAAGAATGGACAAACAAAAATGACCAAAATGAGGGTTTATCCCTCAACATAGCTATATATATGTAAGTGGGGAAATCGATGGGGGAAAACGATGGAACACGTGGTACACTTAACATCTTAAATTTGAGCAGCTCAAATGGTGCTTCAGGTGATAATCATTCATATTCAATGATTCATGCATTATTTACAGTCCGTGAGCTGCTTTACCTATTCTACCTCATTTCTTTGGCTAAGAACCTTGGGCAGCACTATCGACGTTGGTCCATGTTGACCAATGCAATGCGCAACATCGCACACTTTTTTTTTTTTGCAAAGAACGGCTTTATTAGACTATGTGCTAAACTGCAATGCTCAAACAGCATCGCTCAAGTCTCTCAAAGCAGGTGCCAAAACCGCACACCTCTCAAATGAACATGTTTCTCTGGTTCGCTTGGAACGAGCTGTTCCCCAAATGAGGCTTGGCAAGGCCACTGGTATCCCAAATCGTCACAGATTTGTCTAAACTCCCTGAGGCCACATGGCTTCCATCTGGGGAGAAGGCCACCGAATTCACAGCAGCGCTGTGCCCGGTCAATGTCTGAAGACACTTCCCGGTACCGGCATCCCAAATCTTCACAGAGCGGTCGTTGCTCCCCGAGGCAATGTTGCTGCCATTAGGGGAGAAGGCAACCGACTTCACAAAATCCGTATGCCCCGTCAAGTTTTGAAGACAGTCTACAGTAGCAACATCCCAAATCTTCACGGACGTGTCCCAACTTCCTGAGGCAATGTGCTTGCCGTCCGGGGAAAAGGCCACCGACGACACACAAGATTCGTGCCCTGTAAAATGTTGAAGAAATTCCCCAGTGGCAGCATTCCAAGTCTTGACATTGTAGTCGTAGCTCCCTGAGGCGATAAGGATGCCATCTGGGGAGAAAACCACTGACGACACAGCGTTGCCGTGCCCCGGCCGCGTCAAGGTGTGAACGCACTCCCCAGTGGCAGCATCCCAGATCTTCACGGACATGTCCCAACTAGCTGAGGCAATGTGAAAGCCAAGGGGGGCGAAGGCAACTGCATTCACGGCATCAGTATGTCCCGTCAATGTCTGAAAACACTTGCCTGTGGCAGTATCCCAAACCTTAACAGACTTATCCCAACTGCCTGAAACAACATGGCTTCCATTTGGGGAGAAAGCCACCGAATTAACGCCATCGCTGTGCCCGGTCAATGTCTGAAGACACTTCCCGGTACCGGCATCCCAAATCTTCACAGAGCGGTCGTCGCTGCCCGAGGCAATGCGTCTGCCATCTTTGGAGAAGGCAACAGACTCCACACCGCCGGTGTGCCCCTTGAGGATCTGCAAAACTCTCCCGGAGGTGGCGTTGTTGGGATGTTCAGCCAAAGCCCAAGAAATCACGGCAAAAAAACACACAAAAACGCCATGTCGAATGATGTCAAGCTTGCCAATAACTTCTCCAACATATCTGTCATATTCTTTCATTATCTTCCAATATTGCGGGATATTGCCACTGTCACTGATGAGATTTGTTATGTTTTTTGCAGAATATAACCGTACAATATATCCTGAAGACATTTATTGCCAATACTCACTGGCGAGAAATAATAAAATATAAGAAGTACAATATTAAACAAAAATAAACATCAACGCTAATAATATATGTGTCGACATATGTAAATGGTGTGAATACATGGCTAAGAAAAACTGGCTAGTCAAAATGGCTAATAAAAATATAGGAAAAGTGGCTATAGATGGCTATATATAGTTATTACGTGTTCTCCCCCTGCAGCCACCTGATTAGGAGTTTTGATGCGCTTGAGAGCCATGAACTTGAGCCATAAATTTTCCAAAGGGTCGAAGGTCCAGAATTAGGCACCCCTGGTAGCCCACATGATCATATGAAACCATATGTGGTCCCAAAAACACTTCACTTTCGAGCCATCGCCATATTCAACCATCCATTTTTTGGGGATAATTCACAATAAATCCATAATGAATCCATATTGTATTTGTTCATATTTATGCCGTTAAATTCAAGATACATCACAATAATTCCCTACGTTATAATTTCAAACAAATAACTGTATATATAGGAACCACACACACATATCATCATATATCTATATAATCAAAATAAAACATATTTATCATGATAAAAATAAATAAAAACTATTTCATTATAGTTATAGATCATTGTAGCATATTTCATGATACGAACCATGGTTTCCCCTGGGGGTTCCATGAGATTCCCAAGCAAGTGGGACATCTCAAGCTCCTGTTCCTCGGGACGCGGCAGCTTCAGCTCATCGGCTCGTCCTGGAGGCTGGAACCTGCTGTGAAGGCTTCGGCTCAAGGAAGAACATTTGGGGGTAAAGAACTTTAATGATTGGAGGTGATTGGGTTAGAATAACATGGCTTGAAAATTATATTTTTACATATTTTTACTATATTCTAATAATTTTCTCTGCCATGATTTACTTCGATCCATCCAATTTGGGGTAAATCATGACAGAACTATACCATTCTTGAGCATTGAACTTAGTGCTATTACTAATGTATCTGATAGCTAAAAGAATCTAAAGGATGTGCATCCCAAATGTCCCAGGAGCGGTGTCTGGAACTTGCGGTGTTCACAAGTGCACGCCGTTGTGGCGCGAAGCAAATTTCGAAGTCAAAATGTACAAAGCACCTCATGCTCATAACACTTTTGGAAGTTGAGATGTTAAGAAAGTGCACGCCGCTGTGGCGAGAAGCACACTTGGTCAGATAGATAGATCAATATAGATCAATAGATGGATAGTGAGAGAGAGAGAGGCACAAAGAGAAAGAGACAGGGAGAGGTAGAGAGAGAGAGAGAGAGAGAGGAGAAAAACAAAACAGAGCCTCAACCACCTTTCGATCCGTCAGTGGGCTCGCTCTGCCATCAATTCAGCACAACAACTCACCTCTCCTATAGGTTTCCTATCTTTGAAACTTCCGCTGTCGCCTTGTGCGGTACTACTGGCATATGATGTACATCGTTAAACATCGTTATTGCACCATGACCAGAATAATCGTACATACAATATATATATACACCTAGTAAACCTTAACCCTGACTTTTCTTAGGGTTTAAATATAAACCTCGGGTATTCCAAGAATTCATGGAAAACCTCGGGTTTAGTTAGAAAACCTCGGGTTTCTCCCTTGCCCTCTGCTCAGGCCTCGGCAAACCACTTCTGATAATGTTTGGGTTCCATTGTTGTAGCCTTTTGTGGGTTTCCTCACTGGAATGTAGCACGATATATCAACATGGTTCTTTTTTTGCATTGGAGATAACTAATGGGGTGATCATTGAAACATATACAGTAACCAAACTACCAAACCCATACATGCCATTACCATTCAAGTTCAGGAGATAGTTATATACCAATGTTATCTTAATTTATTTGTTTTTGATGGGGAAAAGTTCGGGTTTGTTCAAACCCGTACTCAACCCGTACTAAACCCGTAGTAAACCCGTACTAATCCGTAGTATTTCTGGGAAAACCCTAGGTCTTTGCAAAAACCTCGGGTTTGTCAAACCCGTACAGAACCCGTACTAAACCCGTACTAAACCGTACTTTTTGTACGGGTTTAGATGGTTGAGATTTCACTGGATTTTCAACAGTTTGAACGTGATTTGTGAAGGGGCATCGGCAGAAAACACATAACCTTTTGGAAAGTGGATGGGGTAGCAAGCGTGGTTGTGCCAGCCAGCTCATGGCCAACTGTGTCTGACATGCAAAAACGGTGAGTTTTGCCAGGAAAAAAACGCATCAGCATGCGGACTTGATCCAGCATGGAATTCAAAACAACAATCAGACTTCAAAAATTATCAGGTTTTCGAAAACCTCGGGTTTTGTGTGTAAACCCCGGGTATTTGAGCAAACCCTAGAAAAACTTCGGTTTTGGATTTGTAAGGTATATTATATATACATATTTATGTGGATGATATATATATATATACATCCTTTCCATTAAGGATGACCAGGTTTCCTACCAACGGCAAGATCGGCAAGGCCGTGTGCGGCCTTGGGCTTGAAGGTCTGGACCGAGCGGAAAGCGCTGAGAGCTTCTTGTTTGCTGGGCTCGCTCTTGAAAGATCCTGTCATCTACTGTACCCCAAATTTTGAGATATTTTGAGATATCTTGAATTACAGTAGGTCTATCGGATCTGTGACATCTGTACCGTGTAAATGTTGTAACTTCCACTTTGGTCCTCATCAGGCCGAGGTTGGTTCTTTCCCACCCAATGCGCCGACTCAAAGTGCGTCCTCAAAGAGAACCTTTGCACATCTCAAGATATGCTGGTTGTCCCCACGCAACGGCTACACAAGCGTAGCTGATTGGTGGGGTGTATGCCGCTGTCGTCACTGAGCAGGGCACGGTCTGAAGCGCTCCTGGGCACAATCGAAACATGACAGTCCAGTCCAGTGCAACGTCTCGGTCGGCTGGCAGCACTTGGTTTCAAATTTCAATTGACGTTTTTTCACCTCTCTCTCTCTCTGTCTTAGTATGTGTTTTTTTTGGGGGTCTTGATGAAGCCAAATGAATTGCCAAAGCTCTTGTTGCAAGACTCCCTTATTTCTTCCATTTACTGAACCACTACTGCGTGATACTGAGGGCATTTTTGTGGCGAGCGTGTAAACACTGTGCTGCTTTACTATGTGCTTCAATGCCTCCGCTCCACCTGTTTGTCCCTAAAGCGTGACCCTTAATTACTGGCACCTTTTGGCCGTGCCTGAAGCCTTTCAATTCAAGGTCATTTGCACAGTGGAGGCTTTGCGTCTGAATGCATTGGATGCATTGGAGTCAACTGAATCAACTTGGGACTTAACCACTCCTGACTCCTGACTGAACGATTAACGTTGCTACTTTTCTGACTGATTTGAGAAACTATGAGAAACTAGAACCAGGTTCCCCAGCCACACAGCTCTCTGCTTGGTGCTCCACATCCTTTGGAGAATCCTCGGCAGAAGACGCTTTCCAACATGACGTGCCATGTTCCAACAATTCAACACTCCCCCCCTCTCTGGTGGTAATGGCGCATGTGGTGGTCACAGTTTTTTGTTCACGGGGCAATCCTTGTGCACCTGGTGAAACTTTCTCGGGACCATCAGGTCGGAATGTGAGACAAAAAAAGGCAGCATCTTTCGCTGCGCATCTTGTGGCTTGGCACGGCCATCGGGGACTTCAACATGTTGAAAAATAAAGTGGTAAACCCCATAATGAACCCATGGGTTGTATAAATCATCCTCAAATGGTAGGTTTATTCTTGGATTGTATTGATTTATTTACCACATTAATCCTTTTGCACATGGCAATGTCTCGTATTCACACAAACACTGTGTCTTTGAGCAAAGAGAACAGTTGCTGATCATGAACTGCAATCTATTCATAAGGATAATTTTCAGCCATTTTTTAGCTCATCAGTCTGCTTTCTATATGCCTTCTTCTTTGGACTCCTGGAAAAGTTCGACTTCAGGCAAGTCGTCATCTGAATCCGGCTCTTCCCAGGGTGCTCGTCGAAGAGGTTTCTTCTTTTCTGCAGGGATGAGGCCTGGGACATCCCACTTACCATGGGACTTGGGATACCATGGGCCATGAATCTCCATTGTTCATCACAAATCCACATGGGAAACATTGGGAAACCGACTTCTTTCCACAAAACTTCCCAAAGATCTGGATGGTCGCAGATTGGCTGTAGAAATTAATGCTTTCCCGTGCTGCCAGTTAAACATGTGTTCCTAGTTGTTGATGCCTGAGTCATGCTTCATTTTCCGGGATGGACTCAAACGGCTTAGAATCATCTCCAACAACAAAATTTATTTCTACTTTATATAAACTATTCTTTTGGCATTTTCCAATCTATCCCACTCTTCAGTCACTTCAACTTCTACCATGTGTCCAAAATTTCGTATGTTAATTGATCCATTCCTCAGCCACCCCTCGTATTTATAGCATGGAATCCCAAAAGATTGTTCCGACCCAACGGATCAACGACCTGGGGCCCCAGGTTGTGTCTTGCGGAGAGCAAGGGAACGCTGTCGAAAAAAAAGTGGGCGAAGGTCCCATTCTCCCATGATATTCCCATTCTCTCCCCATCTTACAGTATATTCCAGTTGGTTTATGTTGCTTTCCCATGAACTTTGGATAACTTGGGCATTTTCATGCACTTTCCGATCCACCACACCCCAGTTCACCATCCTCAACCGCAAGTTGAGACGGCACCAACGCTCCAATGCTACCACACATGCTGCGCCGCATGCTTCCCCGCCTGGATATGTGGTTCTCCTCTTCTCGTCGCCTTCCAGGATCACCAGCTGTCGCTGGGCCGCCTCCTTCAGGGCGTTCTCCTGGCGTACCTGGCAGGCGTGACCCGTACCTGGATGGGATTGGATGGAGGAGAACTCTTGTTTTTTTTCCTAAGAAAGTAGGAGAACATCATGATGATGATGATGATGATGGGGGATTTCAATTGGATTTCTACGTGTTTCGATTGGGTCTTATGGGATTTGGGTTCCACTAAGTCACTATGGTTCCATGGGCTTCCCATATATCCAAAGTGTGGGGCAAAGCCATATCAGAAAGTGTTCGTTGACGTTTGCCGGGATTTGGAATGCAGCAAAATCCCGTTTTTGCATGCAAAATAAATCAAGTTCTAAATTTGATGCGGAATTGTCACAGCACGCATCATATCACATCATGGAGGTTTCCTAAAATGTGGTACCCCCCAATCGTCCAGCCCAAATCGACCAGTTTAGCGTTGAAACCCATGGTGACTCGGGAATCTCCCTTTTTCAGAACCCCGCAAATAATTATCGCAGCAATTTTTGTGGTAATTTAATATAATTTAACATATTTTAACATAGCTATTGGAAATAGCTCTTTATCATCATGTATATTCATTTGCCAGTACCATGTTTTAGCCTACGGGTTGAAAACCGTCCGAGCGTTTTAGGCATTTTTATATATATGTTCCTTGGGGTGGGGTGGGGTGGGGTAATAATGTTCACGTACTTGCGCACTCCCATGATGTTACGCCACGGCACGTTCACTTGCACGTGCGCACAATTGCGCAGATACGTCATGCTACGTTGAAGATGTGTCACGTCACGCAGGGGTGGGGTGGGGTGAGGTAATAACGTTCACGTACTTGCGCACTCCCATGATGTTACGCCACGGCACGTTCACTTGCACGTGCGCACAATTGCGCAGATACGTCATGCTACGTTGAAGATGTGTCACGTCACGCAGGGGTGGGGTGGGGTGGGGTGGGGTAACGTTCACGTAACGTTCACGGCACGTTGCCACGTGCGCACATTCATGCTACGATCAGTTGACATCTTGTCCAGAAAACGAACAAAAATTGAATGACCTCATTTGGACGTACGTTCGCACATGGCAGTGGCAATGGGAGGCAAATGTAGTTGGAAAAGCCTTGTTGGAGAAAACAGGTGCGTACTTAGCGAAGATGTAGAGATCACCGGAAAAAATGGCTACCGCTGAGGTTTTGGGCACGCTGACTTCCCAAAAGGAACCTTTTTCGCACTCCGACATGTCAACTATATACAGTAAATCCCAATGAAAATTCAAAATCACAATAGAATTGACCTTCATGGACAACATAGAAACATGAAAAAACACTGCGAAACGCATGATTGACTTCTTGCCAGTCACATGAAAATGCTGTTTTTACTCGGCCCATTTCCAACCCGGCGGGATGTTTTACCTGTTAAACACTGTGATGTTCCATGGCTGTTCGTAGTTTATTTACTCTGTGTTGATTGGTGCCCATGTCTTAACTATAATATATATATATATCATATATACGTATACATAGTTGCTTTACCATGAATTACCTCCAAAAAAACAGTGTTTTCTTTCAATGGTTTTGTCAATCCGAGTGTATCACAGTTCCCCCAGTTCTAAGTTAAAAAGCAAACTATAGAGATATCATGAGATATCTACCATAAACCATGGGCAATCGTTGCCCTATTTGGGGGTTTCCATAAATACCATAAATGGGGGTACCCCTAAATCATCCATTTTAGAGATTTTCCATTATAATCATCCATTTGGGGATACCTCCATTTATGGAAACCACCATTTATAAAATGCTAAAAACCCTTCCCCCACAATATTCAACATCCCCTTAGAAACATCATTGGGACCATTTATGGGGTGTTTAATATTCGGCCGATGAGATTATATGGCTTACCCATCTTACCCTCTGGTTATTTCACCTATGGAAAATGGCCCATAGAAATAGATTATTTATAATTAGATGATTATAGATGATTTACCCAATTCAAAAATGGTGATTTTCCATGGCAAACTGTCAGTCATAACAGTTCCACTGGCCTCACTGTTGCATCGTTCCACCATTTCTTCCGCGCAGTGCTTGCCCAAAAAGTTCAACCGCCTCAGTCTGGCGGCCCTGGCTACCCACTGGTAATGACTAACAGTTTGCTATTGAAAATGGCCATTGGTAGTTGATTTAGCCAACAAAAATGGTGATTAATTGCCATTTATAGTTGATTTAGCCAACAGAAATGGGGATTTTCCATAGCAAACTGTTAGTTTACCAGAGGGTCTGGTCAAGAGCTAGCCTACATATCCCAAATTGCCAAACTCGCCGCTAAGTGTCTCCTGAATGATGTCGGCCTGCGGATGCCAACGGCAGTTGTCAAGATGTTCAAAAATGCATGGTGATGCACACACTATTTCTTTGATTTCAAATGTGCTACTGTAATACTGGTTGGTGGTTTCAACCCCTCTGGAAAATCTTAGTTATATAGTTGGGATGATTATTCCCAGCATATAGAAAAATATATATATAATGTTCCAAACCACCAACCAGAATATGTACTCGTTGTATGGCTGCTAATCAAAGTGAACCTGGCCACCTGGTCTGTTTACAACAAAAACTGCTCGTGATCACGCGACTGAATGAAGTGCATACAGCTATTCTATGTTGCTGCTTGAAGGGTTATTGAAACGACCATGCTATATAGTGCAATCATATGCAATCGTTTCGCACAACTTCAATTTTTGATTTCGGTTGCTCCTGCGATTCAAACATGCCTATTTCTTAACAAATCCGGCACTCCTCCAACAACTCCAGCCATTTCATACAAAAACTCCGCAGGTTCCCTTGTGCGGCTCAACTTGTATGCTGCCCCATGGTGCCCATGGTACCCCCACCTTCTCATTCAAAACATTCAGCCGTCTATTGAAGCCAAGTGCCCGCCAGTACCTCGGGCGCTGTCGCTACGACCCATTTCGGTGATTCCGTGGAGTTACAGCAACAATATTTTACCGTATGCCAATAGATTCCCAATAAAATCATTTAACATAATTAACATATTCAGTGAACAATATTTTGTGAAGTCTTTGTTTTAGGTGACGGCGCCTCTCAGGCGACCGCACTGTTGTAAATTTTACCATGTGATCTTGAGTTGGTCTTAATGTTTTCATGTTGATTTGACGTGAATGTCTGGTTCTTGGGGATGTTCGTCCTGTTTCAATCGCTGCGTCAGAGCATGGGGTGGGGTGGGGTGGGGGGGGGATGGGGTGGGCTTATAACGTTCATGTCGGCTGCCGGAAGGATGTGATGCTACGGCATGCTACGGTGTGAAGATGTTGAAGTAACTTCAGGGACGCTCTGGATGCTACGTTGTGAAGATGTTGAAGTAACTTCAGGGACGCTCTGGATGCTACGTGTGAAGATGTTGAAGTAACTTCAGGGACGCTCTGGATGCTACGTTGTGAAGATGTTGAAGTAACTTCAGGGACGCTCTGGATGCTACGTTGTGAAGATGTTGAAGTAACTTCAGGGACGCTCTGGATGCTACGTTGTGAAGATGTTGAAGTAACTTCAGGGACAAAATTGGACTTGGCTTGGATTTACTGCAGGAACTTGGAAAACTCATGCAATCGATCAACAAGAAGATCGGATACTGGAAGTGAGCAGACCGCAGATGTAAAAAAGCTTCGAATGTGTTTCGGGAATATGTTTTCGAAATCCATTTTTTCCAAAAATCGCGTTTTCGCTACAGCGAAAACGACACGAAGTTAATTTTGAGGCGCGCCTCCAATGTTTTTGAACCATTTTTTAACATCGATCGAGCAAGGTTCATGAATAAAGTCCTGCGTTTTACAGGGAATTGTGCTTTGAACCTCTAAAACGACCTCTGAAAAACATGAAAGAGCGCGGTCGCTCCACAGGCGCCGCCACCTTGTTTTAGCTATGCTAGTTGTATATATAATTATAATTGTATATATATATGTACATATATATATATATATCAAGTTCTATCCGTTGCAGCCTGTGGGTTCAACCCCATCCCTGCGGAACCAGGTCACTGCTTTTGTGCCAGGCCTATGAGCCTCACTACATCCGAGCCCAAGGCTGGACCTGACGGGAGGATTTCAGCTTTCAGATGGGTTGAACGGTTGAACCGAGTTGAACCCTGAAAAACATTCAGAAAAGTTACAGAAAAAAAGCTGGAAGAAGATCCAATCATCTCAATAATTTCAAGAGTTGCCAGGCTCAAGAATGAGTAAAGGGATGCTTGCAAAGGGCGTCTGTGGGGGCCAGGCCTTTCATTTTCTTCAATCCAGCGACAAATTCTTTGGGGCTCACAGAACCGCTCCTCAGTGACAGCTGCGCACAGCTAAGCAACTGGAAAGAAAAACCTAGCGCAAAGGGCTGAAGGGTCGTGCAGCCATGCGTCCCGTCCACATCCATTAGCTCAAAAAGGAGTTCCATCTCGTCAAAACCTCAGATCAATGGATTGGTTTAAGGTAAATTTCACCGGAAAACTTCTTTTTTTCATGTTTCTACCCTGACATCTACGGTTTCCGGTCGATTTTCCCTTCATCCAGTTCTGAGATCAGATCAATCACAACTTGTGAGCAATCTTCTTGCACAAACCGTCTCGGCGATTTCGCCAAGGCACAAAAGTTTAAGAGTTTCATCTTCTCCTCAGCCAACGGCAAAACATCTCACTGCTTGCTGGTTTCAACCCAATGATATGTCCCTTTCAGTTCATTGGAAATTTACGCCATCGCCTCTTAACTGGGGGGGCCCATCCTGTAGCCAAATCCCCATGGTTATGCTATGGGCCGAGTATCCAGAACACTTGGCGTCCGAATGACTTTGCTGAAGTCCTGCCAATGCCCCAACGCGAAAAATCTGGCTGAGCTTTTTAGTGGGGTTCACATGGCTTCCTTCAGGTCATGAGTCATAAGATAGTCATAAGTTACATGTTTTCTTTTCGCCTCTTGGGTCCATCTTTGCTCCATTTTGTTGAGTTTTGCTTGTTGAAATTTGTTGAATACTATTTAAAATATTATTGACCATTATTAACCATTATTAACCAACCATTGGGTATACCACCAACCACCAACCATTAGGAATGCACATTGTGGCTTCGGTGCTCCGCACCTCCGCTTCCTCCCATAGTTGGATGACCGGGGCGGCTACCCTCTGGTAATGACGAACACTTCGCCATTGAACATGGCGAACTCACATGGCCATGGAAATCGTTGATTTGCCCATGTTTCAATGGTGATTTTCCATAGTTGTTTGATGTTTTTTTTGTATCTGGTTGGTGGTTTCAACCCCTCGGAAAAATATGAAAATCAGTTGGGATGATGACATTCCCAATACATGGAAAGTCATAAAATTCCATGGTTCTAAATCACCAACCAGAATGTGTTTACCAGAGGGTAGCGATTGCCAACCCACCCTGTTTGATCCCACAGTGATATCACCGACGGACGAGCAGAGAGGCGGGACCTTGTAGGTCAATTCTCCACCACCTTCCTGAGGTCAGCGGCTGATATCCCCTACAAAATACCATGGTTTCTGGGTTTCTGATGGTTTCTGGGGTGTGAGGAATTGTGGGAAGGGATTATTCTTGCAGATCCATGGCTATCATCAATGATCCATGTTCCGAACACACTGAAGAGTGAAATTCTTGAAGGGTTTGTCTTGGCTGAACAGGCTGAACATTTTGAACATCGAGTATACCCAATACCAATGGAAAATCATCATGTTCCCCACTAAGACCCTTTGGGGGGGTGTGGTTCCGATCGGCCCCGTGCAGATCAAGGAGCTCCGTCATCGCAGTATTCAGTCAATTCTTCCAGCATCGCAGCAAAGACTTTCTTTTCAACCTTTGCCAGCACCTGGTCTGTGCAAACATGCTTGCAACATGCCAGGCAGGACCCCCAAACTATTCATCAAACCATAGGGTTTACACATGTTTACACCATTATGACTTTTTTTTTGTTTGGGTGTGTGTAGATACTGAACACTATTTCTGTATGTTCAATGGTTTTCAAGCTCAACACGGGGTTTTGGTAAAACTCTTGACAGCCATGGTTGGGTGTGTCTCCCAAATTCTCAGACGAACCCGGCCCTGGGGGGGTTCCTAAAATGGGGGTACCCCACAATCATCCATCCATTTTATATAATGGGATTTTCATGGTTTTACCATTATCAAGCATCCAGCTATTGGGGTAACCCCGGTAACCCCCATGGAAAAAACACTGCAGAGTTTCCACAAACGGCATGGAATTTCTTGCCGAGCCTTGGAAAAGCTCTCTCGGGTTTCTGTCGCGATGCTGACGATGTGCTCAACCATCACTGCGACCAGGATGTTGATGCAACCGAAATTCAGGAAAATCACTGACAGCCTGAGCGAGATACCCGCAACGATGTCCGAAGGGTAACATGGCTGAGAAATCCCGGTGGCCTAAACATGTATGGAGGTTATTCGCCGGCATATCTGCACAAAGGTGGATTTTCCAGCAAGCCATGTTTGTTTACTGGAGGGTAATGCAAGTACAGACCACCATGAAAATCATGAACCAGTGAACAGGTGCAAACAGGATACGGCCCAAGGATGTTGGCATGAATGTTATACTAATGCACCCAAATTTTCAGGCCAGGGGCCCATAAAAGTAGATTATTACTTGTACCAGTAATTATTTTTTTTGTTGACCCTTATATTGGACACCAAAGACGCATCAAGATTTCAAGCCCCTGTTGGTGCCCAATTTGGGGACTATCTCCTCCAACAGGAGCATCGCAGCAGCGGGCCAGGCACACAAGCATCGCTGTGGTGGGCGGAGAAATGGTCATCAGGGGTTGGCCCAGTGAAGCTGAGATACGATCAACGGTGAAGACCTGCGTAGCATTGCGTAGCATCGGGGGGAACAGATTTGACCAACGGGGAAGCTTTGACCTAGCTTTCCAATGGGAAATCCCTGAACTCATCGGAGGTTTACAGCTGGGACACTCAATGACATTCATCAATCTATTAATTAAATGGGGTTAAACCATGTTAAACCATGTTAAACCTAGATCCTAGAACATCCAACCTGGGATGCATGGATGTTCTGGGCAAGGGGATTGTTGTACAATGACCCCGGCTCTCTTTTGAGGGAGAATGGATTGAACTTTGAAGGCTGCAGGAACCACGAGAGTTGCGTTTTGGGGTAATCCCATTATTGCATCTGTGCATATTGGCAAAGTTCAGCGCTTGGCAGGTTGGGCTGCGAGACCTTTTTCCGATCGGGCGGGACACTCAAGCCGCAGTCAGAGCACGGCATTAATCAATCCTAGTTCACTATAAAAACTGAATTGAGCAGCTGCAAAACGGTGGCAACAACCAAAACCCTCACATTGGTTGCTGTCTTCTCATTGAAGAAACAAAAAACAACCTGAGAAGGGGGGAACGAAAGCCAGCATCCCATCTACCCCTATTTTCCACCATACTTTTCACCCAGAGACTCTTCAATACATTTCACCCATATACTTTTCACCCAGAGATTTTTCACCCAGAAACTCTTCTTGCACAGACTTTTGACCCATATACTTTTCACAAAGAGACTCTTCACCCAATTTTTTTTCTTGCACATACTTTTCGCCCATTCCGAAATTCCGCTGCATCTGTTTTGCAACGCTTTGAGCCACTGTGCATTGGTGGCAAGTCACTGATAAGTACAGATACTACACATGCGGTTGAATGTCTGCTACAACTTCACACCCCGCCTTGGCATTCACCGATTTTAGGTGCATGCCACCTTTTCTGTACTTTCTTTGTGTCTTTGCACCGCAGGGCAGTTAGTTGCCCATCCTATCGCTTCTATAGGTGCTTTGACCTTGCCACTCTCATGTCTCACGCTCATCATAGTCCCAGCTTGAAGGTCTCGATGTCGAATCGCCTTCGCCTCCGCCGGGTTCTGCATCATGTAGTGCTCTATCTTGTGGGTCCACGTCATCATCATCTGAATGTTCTTCTTCTTCTCCTTCATCTTCGCGAACTGAACCTTGAGCTGTAGTTCCTTCTTCGAAGTAGCTCCAATCGCGATTTGCTTCCAACCATCCTTTCACGTTGAAAGCTGCATCTATCCAAAGGTTGGGTTCTTTGGACTGAAACATCACCATCAATGTTTGTAGACTTCGCAGCAAACGTTGAAGTCTCGCTCTTTCGATCACATCTGTGCAATCATGAATGTATTGACTCAATTCACGACTGTTGTGAACCAAAATTGTCTCCGGTCCACATCCCTGCATGATCAGGTCCCACCTGTAGTCCTCAAATGCTGCATATTCTCTTGGAACCAGACCAATGTTGTAGTAATTTGCGATCTCCCATGAATCGCTGAAATAATTCACATCATCATTTGTGGGTATCGGCCTTGATGTCCTTGAACTTCCAGCCGATGATTGAGGTTGATCTTGACTTTGTCGAACTCCTCGTCGCTCATGTTCTGACTCAGCCATTCGCACCATCTCTTCTGCTCTTTCATCTGCGACTCTGCGATCACGTTGAGCTGCAAGTATCTTTGGCATAGCTCGTGCCACAGGCGTAGTTGATGAAGCGGGTGTTGCTGCTTCATCTCTTGATCTCGATCTTGATCTCGCTGTACTGCTAGCTGGGCCATAATGAATATCAGCCCACTCATCTGGATCAGACACTTCGTCTTGTCCACTCTGAACATATCTGCGCCATCTTTCAGATTGAGTCTCGTTCATCTCCTCAATCCAATTCTCATCATCACTTTCTTCTCCACTTGCATGTGCTGCATGTCCACCATGTAGAGCTGCTCCATCTGAAATCTCAATGATTGCTTCTGTCAAGACTTCGATTCCTTCTTCTGTTGTAGGAAATTCTCCTTCAACAACTTCTCCACGTTCAGCACGTTCACCATGCTCAGCAATTTCAGGTTGTTCTTCTCCGCAATCTCTAGGTTCTTCAGGACTCGCGCCATGCGTCCCATTGGAAAGGAAAATTCTCGGAGGTTGAGGTGCTTCTTCTCGATCTTCTGCATCAAAAGCTGCCACAATGTTGTTTGCGCTTTCTCTCGCTTCTGCACTGTCGACGATTGTATCGTCATCTTCTTCCTCTTCTTCACTTTCTTCATTCAACCAAACACCACTGAATGAAGATCTTCTCACACCAGGTTCATCCTCTTGTGCAAGAGGGTCTTGGTGTTGTTGCAAGTTTGCCACACTCCGAATGGTCTCCCAAATTGCCTTGTACTTCGCCATCTGAAACTTGAGCTTGCTCACCTCGTTCAGCAAATAGGTTACCAAACTTACCAACACAATTGTTGCCAATGTCCACCACGCAGTCGATGTCCATGTCATGAGGTTCATCCACATAGGTTCACCATCGCATCCTTGCAAGTTTCCAGTCATCAGCATCATTGAGACCAAACGCACCATTTGTTTCAACTTTGGCATGTTGTTGGTCTTCTCCTCAAACGTTTCACTGCATAGACCAATCTTCTTCATGAGGTATTCTCTGCGGTCACGAGACAACGGTTTGGTATTCAAATCCGCAGGATTTTCTTTTGTAGAGATTCTTTCCACCAGAAACCATCTCCTTCTCATAGCTTGTTGACTCCACATCATTCTCGTTGATAAGTGCTTTGCTCGTCCAGGACCAAGACGATTGAAGAAACTTTGCGCACTCGTGGAATCAAGTCTCAGTCGCATTTGAACTTTGGAGTTGTTGCTCAAACCACCAGCATCTCCAAGTAGGAATTGAAGTAGCTGTTTCAGCTGAATTCCTTCCACCAGCAAACTTGTCGCCGCCAAAATCTCTGCCTCCATTGAAGATAGTGCGGTCGAAGCTTGTGCACGACTGTGACTGTGCACACAGCAGGAATTTACAAAGATCAAACCTGAAGACGTAGATCTCCTTGTGGTTTTGCAACTTGCCCAATCGCTGTCGCTGTAAAGCTCGATCTCATAAGGACTTCCATCCTTGCGCTCATCCAAACCATTCCACCGTGTCAAAGTTGATGCGTAGGTTTCTGCCTTTGGGTAATGCATCCTCATGTCTTGGGTGTAGATGAGATAACTTCCCAATTTGCGTAGGGCACATAGAGCTGTTCGCGTCGGGCGTCCCATGTAGCTGGATAAAACTCGCACTGTTTGTTGGGTATCCAGCCTTTCCTGAGCAAGGTAAAGACATATGCCCAGCGCTGATCTGAACACCTTTGCATCACCTTCATCCAAATATTCATCCATTGGAATTGCTTCAGCATCGTAGACCGTCAAGGCATTATGATGAGGCACACTCTTGCCCCGCCTTTCTGTGATGCCCAATAGCTCAGCCAACTTGGGGATGTATTTGGCATTCGGTGAGATGTAGATCCCATCTTCTCCAATGTCCACTTGTCGCTTCAAGTAGAACAAACGACCAGGATCTTCTGTTCCAAAAGGTCCATCCTTCTTCAACGTGAGCTTCTTGGAAAGCTTTTCATAGATCTCATCAGTGTCAGCTCGATTTCCAATCAGTAGCAAATCGTCGATGTGAGCTGAAATGAAAATGTCTCGTTCTTGATGTCGAAAAATGGTTCCCTGCATGTGCTCGAAGTTGAGCTCCTCCAGCAACTTGGTCAAATGATCATTCCATCTCGTCGCCGCATTCCTTTGCCCAGGAAGACATTTCTTCAATTGCCAGTACATCAAATTGATGTTTTCGGCTGCAACTCTTACCCAATTGGGTACAGCCACAATCACGTTCTCCTTCTGCATCAACTGAAGAAACGCATCACTGACATCCAGAGCTGAAATCATCAAGTTCTTCACCAACGCAATCACCATGAGAACCTTTACAAGCATCAATGGTGTCGTAGGACTGAATGTCTCATCTGTCGATGCATTCTGTCCTCTGAACTCTCTGGCTACCATTCTCGCACGTCGCACCCAGCAACCTTTTCTGAACCGCCAGTCTCTCACCAACTTGGTATCCAGCTGTAAAGCCTCAGATACATCAACTCCTTCTTGAACATCGCAAATCACATCCAACTCACGAAGTCTTTCAAGTTCAGCATACATTGCATGCTTGTCCAAATAGGCCAACTCTTCAGCACTGACTGTTGGAGGTCCAGCATCTTCGTTGAAGAAACCACGCTTGTCTTTCTCTTCCTTTGCAATCTCATGCTGGGAAAAATCGCCCTCCAAAAGTTGATCGTTCACATCCCAATCCCATGACTCTAGAGGAACTTGTTCAGCAATTTCGTCCTCGTCGTAGAGTTCAATGTTTTCCACAATCTGTCGAACATGACCACCAGACGGTGAAGTAGAACTCCTTGCTCCAGGACTGGGATTCAAATCACCTGCAAAAGTTGGACTAAACATCTCTGTTCGTGCTTGCTTGGCCTTCTTTTCTTCCACCACAGTATGGTCAAACTTGACAAACTTTGCTTGAGTTGAAACTTCACCAGCGGTAGAACGTTTCACACTTTCCACATCAGCCACACGCTGTCGCACAGGTATGGGGAGTTTCACATCTTCTGTTCTGTCACGTTTCACCGCATTTTCAACTGCTTCATTGAATTCAGCATCTGACATCTCTGGTATTGCTACTTGATTTCCAACTGCTTGAAGTTCATGCGGTTGCGCTGGAACTGATTGCGGCACCCCGCCTGACTGAACATCCTCCTTGTCTTCGTCAGGATGCTCTCTCGCATATTTCAAAACTGCACGTTCATCTGCGTCACCTTCAGCTTCAACACCATCTGGAGAAACATGTAGACGAGGTAGAGGTTGCCCTGAAGGTTTGACTTGTTGCACCAGCGTTTGAACTCCACGTTTGAGATCCCAAGGACCAATTTCCAGGCTAACCAGAAAACTTCCATCCCAGTGTTCAGCAATCTTTCGCACTG